TTCCTTCCTTTCCTTCCCTTTCCCTCCCTTCCCTTTTCCTTTCCTTTCCTTTTCTTCCCTTCCTTTCCTTCCCTTCCCTTTCCCTTTCCTTCCCTTCCCTTTCCCTTTCCCTTTCCTTCCCTTTTCCTGAATGACGGAACGTGAGGCTTCAGTGGCGGTCGTTAAGTCGAGGAGCGGGTCTGCAGCCCAGGCACTTCCTCCCTTCAGCAAAGAGGGAATAACTCACGCTGGCAAAACAGCGGCAGCAAAGAGTCCAAGTGTACAAGAAAATAACTCCCCCCCCCCTCTTTTTTAATGTGCTTCCCCCCCCCCCCCCGCCCTCTCCTGGCCAAATTGGATTTTTTTTTTTGTTTTAGGGCAGGAAAAAAGAAGTTTAAAATGCAAGCCCAGTGACTCAGATAAAGCAAGCAGGGAACGGAGGCCAAAATCCCTGGATTTGCACTCTCATCTATCCCAGGGCAGTAACTCTTTTGAATTCTGCTATATAGTGCAGTGTTGGTGTGCAGTGTGGGGGAGTTTCGGTTTCAATGTGTGAAGGGTGAAGGATGTGTGTGTTTGTCTTTATTTTCAGGGTCATGATGTGCCCTGAAGATGGTGTTTGATTTAGTGTTGTACAAGGTACAAGGACAATAAAAAGTAAACTAATCTAAACTAAGACAAATTTGATTTCATTCGGGTTTTGGAGGGGTCCCAAAGTTCGCTCAGAAATTTAGAAAGGGCCCAAAGTGCAAAAAAGCAGATAAATACCTAAATGTCGCACAAGGCCAACTAAGACAATTTACTGCTTTTAAACTTGAGTTAAATATTGATGGCCAGCTCTCCAAATGAGTAACGGAGCAAGATTTGGCACACACATACACAAATCTATCTACCATCTATCTGTCTGATTATCATCTTACCTATCAATCATCTATCATGTATCAATTATAATCTCTCATCTCTCTCTCATGTCTCTCTCAATCATCTACCTGCCTATCATCTCTCTCTCTCATCTATCACCTATTATAATCTCTCTATCAATCACTCCTCCCTATCTCCTCCCTCTATCATTGTCTATATCTCTCATTTCTCTCATCTATCAATCATCTATCTACCTATTGACCATCTCTTATCAATATTCTCTATTATATACTATCATCTATCACTCCTCTCTATCTCTCTCATCTGTCTATTATCTATCTATCTGTCTATCTGTCTATCACTCTATCTGTCTGTCTGTCTGTCTGTCTGTCTGTATCTATCTTCCTTCCTACCTACCTACCGCCCCCCCTCTCTTTCTCCCTCCCTCCCTTTGTGAATTTCTTAGCATGCTTCCAGGCTCCAGTTGTCAGCGGTTGAGACTTTGCCCAAATCAGTTGTTTCAAGCTGGAACACCAAGGTTTAATTTTAATTTTTAACTTCTTATTTGAGTTTTCAGAGGGTTCCTTTTAAGCACTTTTGTTCTGTATAACATTACGTTATAATGACTTTAGTTCCTAGGAGAGAAAATTTCTTTCTTTCTTTTTCTTTTCCTTTCCTTTCCTTTTTTCCTTTTCTTCCTTTCTTTTCC